AAAGATGTGGGGAAAGAAGGAAGGCTAACAAGTTGAGATTTAAGAAAGTAATCAAAAGGGGGAATACCTGTGAAATCTGGAGATGTAGATAGATCCAGCAGAAAAGGGGAAAGGAAGATATTAAGAAAGAGAGGGATATAAACTGGAATGAGAAAAGATATGGGGGAAAGAAGGGGAGGAGAAGCAGTAAGAAACACATGCATGAAATCAAGAAATACGGAAATAGTAAAATGATGAAAATAAATAGTTTTTTCAGAGATAATGGTTGATGAATTAAAAAGGGGATTCTGCAGGGTGACAAGGGGTAACAAGAATATATCTGCAATTCAAAATATTTAGAAAATAGGGTAATATAGATTATTAAAAGAGGGATAGATACTGATAACTCTTATTAGATGAATATACATTTTTATTTTTTATTCTTAAAAGAAAAGTTAAGGTTTATTGAAGAAATTGTAATAATTGAAATGAATGTGAAGATGTTTAAAAATGAGGTCAATATCAGTGACCAGAAATTGAATAGTGAATTTTTTCCCTTTTACTTTTCTGAAATTAGAAATAAAATTAAGGGGGGAAAACATGCTGCTGAATCCAAATGAAAAGATGTAATGATTATTATTGTAACTTCTTAAAAATAATGGTTTATTGGGAATTAAGATGAGGGAATAAAGGTATATTTTAACCACTGAGGTGTCACACTCAAAGCAGTAAAAGGGGGGAAGAAACCTATACTTGTTTCTTTTTCTTTTGTGTTAAAACTTGTATTAATCTAGAATCTATAAAAAGAATGTGTGATGGAAAGGGAGTATGACAGATTAAGGAACTACTTAAATTAATAAGTTAATTCAGACTATTAAAAGGAAGGAGAGACATTGGTAACTTTATTATTATTAAGCAAACATATAGTTTATTTTTATTTTTAAAGTAAATATTAAAGGATTATATTTGAAATAACTGAAATGAAATGAAGATGTTTTGATTGAGATTAATGTAAGAAACTAGGATTAATTTGTTTCTCTCCTTATTGAAAATTTGGAATGGAAAAGGTAATAATAGAATTAAGTATGCATATATGAATATATAATTGTTGTCATATTTGTATGTAAATGTGATGACCTGGAAATATGTTGTCCACTAAAAAGAGCTTTTTGTTTTTTATGTGAAAAATTGAATAAAATTTGTTTTTTAAAAAAAAATCCTGTTGGTTAAAAGCATCTCTGAGATCCAGTTGGTTGGAGAAAATACTTTGTGGAATTTTGACACTAATGCATTCTGCACTATATAACAAGGGTCCCCAAACTTGGCAACTTTAAGACTTGTGGACTTCAACTCTCAGAATTCTCCAGCCATGTATGCCAAGTTTGGAGACCTCTGCTATATAAGAAGCCAGGAAACGCAATGGGGAAAACATGGCTCCAGTCTAATCTAGAGACAGCTGCTGCTCTATTAAGTGTTTAGTTTTGGTCACTCGGATGCTTTTTGGAATCCCTGTAGCATCTGATTTGAAAGTGGATTTAAAAATGGCAAGCTGTAAGAGTGATATGGAAAAAGACATTACATGGATATACAAATAAAATTGGCTGATATCTTAATAATTAAAAGGGTGTATACAAATGGCAAACCAAAAGAGCGATTTGGATAACTCTCTTATATTGGAATTTGGAAACCTATTCTGTGAACAGGGACAAAGGAAAAAAATGAAAATAAAGATGCAGGGAATTATTTGAAGGGATTCAAGATTAAGATTGTTAAAAGAAAAAGAAAGGACTGTAAAGTAAGTTTATATAATCAACATTAAAATAAGACTTAACCCTTAATGGACTTTTACTGATCAGGACTGAACCACAAGTGTTTAAGGATCTGTTCTATAGATAAGAGATGAGATATGGAACATAATAGTAGTTACATTCTAAGAGAAGTTGATAAGTTGTTAAAATTGTTTTTACTTATTGTGATGAGGGGGTAAGTCACTTCTTTATATAGTTGATTTACAACTATAATGGAGCCTGCCCATTACCATCCTAAGTCATGATAGTCATAAAGGGGGTCGGTCACATGACTGACCTGATTTTATGACCTTTGTTGTTAGGCGAATGCAGCAAAGCAAAAGCTTGCTATGAGAGTGGTTGAGCCAAACGTAAGAAGTAACTACCAGTTTTCAGTAAAACCATTGTAAAATGCAGTCACATGACAGGAAGACACTGCCAAAGCTGTAAATGCAGCCTCTTTGCCAATGCACCTGAAATGCAGCCACACAGCCACAGGGTAGTGCACAACTGTCGGAACTTCAGATCCAAGGCATAATAAATAGCCACCGGACAGACAGCTCCATAGGAACTGTTTAAATGATTATATATATTTCTTTACTTTTTGTTTGCTACATTGTTTTTTCTTTTTCCCTGTATACTTTTTTCCCCCTTCGCTATTTTTTCTTTCTATTCTTTTATCTTTCAGGTTTTGTTACTTACAAAAATAAGAGGAATTCCTTCAGCCACAACTAGTAACTGGTACCTTCTATGAAGATAGCAACGCTACTTGAATTCAGCTTAATCTTCATTTATATACTGCTTGCTACCCTGGGCAGAATTGTAACAGGCATGTATTTGAAACCAGGGCATGTGGGAAAGATTCCAGTATGTTACTGGCAGATAACGCTGCATTTTGGACAATCAATCGTCTTTGCCCCTTAATACAAATATCTAAACATGTAGGGTTTTTTCCCCATTGCTATGCATTTTCTACTCATAAATCCTGATTTTTGGCATTTTTGCTGATGAAGAGCAGTACTTTAATCTCCAGAGCTTTCCTCCTGAAAAGATTAACTTGCCATAGATTGAGAAATTACAACTGTGCCCAACAGATACTATTTAATCATAATCATGCTTTCTAGCTACATGATGATGTAAAAAGATTGAATTCAATGAGATGTTAAAGGCTGTGTTGACATGGCTGTTATTCATTGTTAAAGTGGAACACATTTTTAGTATATCTATTTTTAGTATAGATTTGCAACTAATGTACCTCCATGATATTTTAAAACCCCTTATTTCATCTGTACGTTGCCTTTTTATCCCCCTTTCCTGTCTTGTTTTTATGTCTATTTACATATCTTCTTTAATGTCTAATGCAAACAAAAAAAGAGGCAAGTCAAGGAACTTAAAAGAAACTGCATTTCACGGGATGAATCAATCACTCCAAGCCAAAAAGAAGTTTAGGAAATGTTTTATTTTTTAATTTAAAATACTTACAGTTTTCCCTTCTGGCAGATATATAAGCTGGCTAAAATAATTCTGTAACTTGGCATAATTTACAATATAACTGCAATGTAACAAAACCAATTAGTCACCCAAGATTAAGCATACATGATATAAACAAAAACACATCCAAAATGAAAATATACTTAAATCACTAATTACAGCTCTTCACATATTTTCTGGAAAAATCATCTTTATTGATACAGGAAGAGCAAATCTTATTAAGAAACTTTTAACAGGAAGGGAATTGAAGAGGCCCAAAGACCTTGTTTTTTCTAATGTGCCTTCCCTTTGAGCCTTTATTTTATTATTTTATATTATGTATTCAAGAAGATCAAAGGCTTCCATAGTTCAGGATACTCACCTTAAAATCAGAACCCAGAAATACTTAGTTAATCCACAACATAGGCCTATGAAGAATAAAAATAATCTTTGGGCACTGAGAACATGCGGGTCAGAATATTTAGCGGTGCACCTGTAAGCAACTAGAAGTGCACAAGTTTCCTCTCTCACAACTGAAGCCATACATCCTCTAATTTTCAGGCACATCTTTTTCTCACAGCTCCTTAAAAAACCCCACAACGCATGCCATAATTAGCAGGAAAAATAACTCTAGCACTTCTGAATTCTTTCCCCAAGGGGAAAAGGGAAGTTCACAGCCTGCTGGCAAAGACGTCACAGGACAGTTATTGCTGCTAAAGGCAAGAATAACAGAGCAATTTTGCAGCTCTCCTGTTACTACATCCTCTTAGCTCCAAGAATGTGGCCTGGGGTTGCACAACGGGCTAGGGCTAAACTCCGGCCGACTCGTTTGCAGCCAGGTATTCGGTACAGACCTTGCCAAGGTGATTTTTAATAGCCCAGGAAAGGGTAGGAAAACCCCAGGAAAACTTGGCAACCAATAAACCGTGGTGAACGACGCTTGTTCTGCCCTGTTTTGATTCTCCTCCCCAGCAGCCGCCCGTGGACTGTAGAGCTTTAGAGCTAAAGAGCGGCCGTCTTCAGCCTCCCCTCTGCCGATAAGAGGAAAGCCGCTTGCGTTTCGGCGAGGGCCAGGCCATACGCCTTCAACCGGAGGAAAGACCCGAATCCAGCGGGCCAGAAGGCAGCCCAGCCACCGCGCCGCTCCGGTGCCTTCTCCTCGGCCCCTTGGCCCAGCCGCTGCTCCTCGCCACAGCCGGGGCTGGATTTGCAACTGCATCCCCCCGCTAAGCGCGACTTAGCCGGCGCCTTTCCCGCCGCCATGCCGGAAAGCGGAGGGGCAGCGCCGCGTTTGCAGGCACCAGCCGCACCTGCTGGAAAGGCTCCCGCCCCCCCCCCCCCCGCCTCAGCTCCCTCCTGACCCCGACGGCCTAAAGGGCGAGCCAAGGCCCGCTTGCCCCAGGCGCTGCTGCTCCGGGCTCGGCTGCAGGCGGCGGCGGGTCCGAGCAGGAAAGCGGCGCTCTCGGCCCGACGGGGAGGCGCCTCCCCAGGCAGGAAAGCGAGCGGCGGCCGCCTCGCCCGGCCCGTCACGCAGGCGCAGCCTCCGCCGCTCCGCCCGCCAAACGCGGCGCTTCAAGCGGGCCCTCAGGGAGGCGGCTTCGGTGGCGGCGGCGGCGGCTCCTTGGATGCTTGGCCGCGGAGATCTCGCGGTGCTGGCGGCCGGCCCGGGCTGCCTTCAGACGCCGCCTCCTTTTTGTGTCGGGGTCGGGACTGTGCGCAGTGGAGCGGGCGGGGAGGCGCGCCGGCGGCAGCGGGAGCAGCAGCAGCGGCGGCGGCGGCGGCGGCGGAGGAGGAGGAGGAAGAGCCGGAGCCGCAGCGGCCGGAGGCGGGAAGGAGGAGCGCGCTGGTCTGCCTTCGCCAGCGCCGCCGGAGCCTCGCCCAGTCCGATGTGCCTCCTCCTGCGGCGGTGGCGCTGCTGCTGAGCCAGCCGACGTGCCGGCCGAGCCTTGCCGTCTCCCGCAGTCCGAACATGGCCACCCCGGCAACGTGCACCCGCTTCACCGACGAATACCAGCTCTACGAGGAGCTCGGCAAGTACGTCTCTCGCCCGGCCGCCTGCCTGCGCGGCGCAGCCCCAGCACCGCCGCGCCTTCCGGGGGCCCTGGAGCCGTCGCGGGTCGCCTTCGCCTCGGCCTCCCGGGGTCGGTTAGCTTCCCCGGGCTTGGCAGCGCCGCCCGCTCAGCCCCTGGACGCTGCGGTCTTGCCGCAACTCCCCTCCTCGGCCGCCGCCGCCGCTGCCCGCCCGCCCCCTCCGGAGTTGCTCAAGCGAGCTGCAACTTCTGCGGCCGACGGGGGCGGAAAAGGGCAGCGCCGAGGCAGCTGGAGGGCCCCCGTCCCCGCGGAACCCAGGCCAGGGAGCTGCGGCACCGGCGCCCGCTCCGGGGACCTGGGGGCCGGGGAAGCCAATCTCGGCGCTCCCGCTGGGCAGGCCAGCCTCACCTGTCTCGCTTCGGCTCCAACTTCGAGACTGCCCCCCCCCCCCTCCCGCCCGCCCCAGGGCTCCCTTCTGCATTACGGCAAGCGCCGTTGCTACGTTTCTCCTACCTCAAGCTCGGCTCCCCGTGTGCCTCCCCTCGCCCCGCACCGCTTCTGCCTCTTCCCGCCTGCCTTCTTCTCCCCGATGCCCACTCTGGGTGAAGGAGCAGCGTCTGGGAAGGGAGGGGATTAGGGATACCCCGGGGGCACCTCCTTCTTGCCCCGGTCTCTGCGCTTGGACCTTGGGCTGGTCTGCTTTAACTTCTGTGCAGGAATGGAAGCCGGGTGGAAAACGTCTTTATCAGGGCAAGGCGGGGACAGCTGGGTCCCGACCTAGAAAGGGTCCCTTAGATCAGGGCTCTCCAACCTGGGCAGCTTGAAGCCTGGCGGACTTCAACTCCCAGAATTCCCCAGCCAGCTGAGTTGAAGTCCGCCAGGCTTCAAGCTGCCCAGGTTGGAGAGCCCTGCCTTGGAAAGATGGACTTCACTCCCCATGGCTCCCAAGCAAAGTACTTCGGAATCCTTTGCCTTGCAAATGGGCAAGTCCACTGCTGACTTTAAAAACGGAATTCTTGCCTGCAAATCGTAATTCGAACATAGTCTGCCTTTCCCATATAGTGTCTGGGGGTCTCTCTTCTCTCCACTTACCCCCTAGCCCCATAGAAGGGGAGTCAGATGCTATCTTCTGCCATCCATGCCAAACTGCAAACCAACCTCCCCCCACAAGGGGAAGGGGATGGCGGGCGACATTTTCCTTGCTTTTTGGGCTGGCCCCTATTTCAGGGTGCTGCCTCTTGCTTTCTGAGCACCAGACAAGATGGGGATCCCGTTTTTCCTCTCAGAGAAATGGAGGCTTCCAACCTACTTTGTCCACAGTATTACGACTTTGGAGGAGGCTGCTTTGAGGTGGCTTGTGCTTGTCTGTCTTAGGGCTGGGGCTTCCCTTGCTAAATTTGGATTGACCGTGTTATAAAAGGCCACTATGAAATACATATCGAAGCTCTTCCCATTAGAGTAACAGTATTTCACCTCTGCAGTTGGGTGCTAGAAAAGTTGGAAGAGGAGTGACCATTTGAGATTTCCCCATCCATTTGCTCTGCTGCTTTGGAAGGCTTAGTGCTGAGCTCTTCCAATGTGTTTGTGGGGGCCTCTGTTGAAGAAACTGAGTAATGGATTATAGTGAGCTCATTTGGGGTTGTGTTCATGGTTAATCAAATTAGCAATAGTCACAGAACACACTGAACCATAACCACATTATTTTAGTTCGTATAATCTATTGAGCTACAAACTACATTTCAACTGCAATCCTGGTTTCTGTGTCCAAAGAGATAGTAGGAGGTCAGGCTGGAATCCAAGAGTAAATTAAGTTAACAAACCACAAAACTTGTCACTTTTTTTTTAAAAAAAAACACCATGCTGGCTGTTTTCCAAACCGTCAGAAGCTCCTTCTCTTTTTCTAATAATTTTTCAGTTTTTAGTTCTATTACCAATTGAGCATATGGGTTCTTTAATTAAATACCTTGACAGATTTAATCCTTTGTTCTTGATTCAGTTTCACGGAATCAGTCTGTCCATATTTCTTCTAGGGGTGCTTTCTCAGTGGTACGGAGATGCGTGAAAAAAACCTCATCTCAAGAATTTGCTGCAAAGATCATCAATACCAAGAAGCTGTCAGCAAGAGGTGAGCATCCGAGCATTGGTTTTAATCAAATTCCTATACAGAATAATGTTGGAGAATTGCTTCTTAATTGACTCTTAATTGATACAGTGTGGCAAATGTTATCATTGATCTTCTTGGAATCGGTGTTTCTTTTGGCTTTGATTTTGGAGTATGCTGCTGCCTCCAAGCTCATAGCTAGAATGGATTCATTTCTTACTAGATACTAAAGTCTGAAACATTCTGAATCAATGCTTAATAGTTAGCATCAAATTAACTACCTACTTAATAGCTCACTCAAACTATTAGGGAGTTAGTTGGTGTTATACTTTCAGAAGTATAGAACGCATTATGACTCTGTATTTGGACTGGTTCTTTTTAAACTCACAGGGGCTTAGTTCTACATAACTTTGCTTAGAGCTGCATTGAAATTGGCCGAAAAGATTACATCAGGCTTCTCCAATTCAGGTGTATTTTATTTCACATTTTGAAGCCTAGAAGAATGTTTGAATTGGAAAGAGAAGGGGATTGTTAGAGGAATTGTCTAGGACCCTTGTCCTGAAGCTGATAGTATTAGAAGCAATAATGTTTTTGTTTTTAGTGTTGCGATTTGGGGCTTGATTTTGTGACTATTATTTATTATAGCGATGCATTATTCTGGTCTGGGAATTTGACATGTGAAAAATCTGTTGTGGAATTTATAAAGAACAAAAAGAATCAATAATAAAGTAATGTTTTCTCTTCAGGGATGTTATTCTTTCAATGGACTTACACATTACTAACACACAACATTAACGCCACATTACTTGAATACATGTGTGAAATGGTACTCACATGATGCATAAAATGATGTATTCCTTGATGTTTATCTACTCCTCCAAAATCTCTGTTCATACTTGAAGAAGCCCATCATAGCATGCCACCGTGCTTTTATACTGTTTTGAGTAGCTTGCAGTGGCATGAAATGTGTAATAATCCAATTCAAGTACAAACGTTTATTTATTCAGTGCCTTCTATAGCAAATAATTTACATATTCTGCGTAATTAACCGGTATGTATTATGTTATTTTCCCTTGAAGCCAGGGTATTGATTTAATCCTAATCAATGTGTTATTTTTTTACTCATTTTCCCATTATCTTGCCTGTTTTCAGGTTGCAATGCATCTCACCGATGGCATGCAGTACTTGAATGAAAGAGTTTTCTTCGTTGCAATATTGTTATTGTTTCTTCTTGTAATTCCTCCATGACATAATTGTATCTTCAGTTCAGCGTCTTCTTAATTTCCTCCCTCCTCCTTTTTAGCAACTTCGACAGTAACAGCCTCAGCCTGTTAGGCAACAACAGTCACTTTTCTTTGCTCTGACTTAAGAGCTCCCAACCAGGAAATTCCTGGTTTATAACGTATTTTGGGCATGAGTTTGAGGAAGAGGTGTCTACTCTTTCAACATGGGGAGAGTAAGGATCCACAAAGGCTTTTTCAACCACTGTAGTAGATGGTGGAAAATCAAAGACCCAAACAGGTGCAGCGTTGGTAGAGAAAACTTTTCTCTTGCTTTCCTACTGCAAAATATAGATTATGATTATTTTTATTTACCACATTTATGTCTTTATTCCTGCAATCCCTGATTTCTTTTCATGGCAATCCTATTGTATAAGAAAGATGTCAGTTGTCCTAACAATTTCCTTAATGTCTCGGTGGAAATTAGAATTTCCCATTGTCACTTGTAAGTGTCGCGTGTGTCCAGTCTTTGGTTTTTCAGTGCATTTTGGAAGAACTATAAAGTAATAATTAGGGCAGCTAATACTGTGCTGCAGTTTTGGTTTCTCTGACATACCCTAGTCAGAGAGGTGTATCAGGTGGAAGAAAGAATAATGGGTTACAAAAAATAGTGCACCAAACTTCATTAAAAAGACTACATAATTTTATTCAAATTCCTGACAAACTTATGCAGCTTTGGGAGAATAATTTCAAAGGAAAAATTGATTTATTTGCTCATCGGTTATGGTGTAAGAGAAATGAGATGTGGATTGATTGATTGATGAAATTAATAGCAAAAATAAAACCATTGGACTAAAGGATCTGTGACTGTGAAGAATGGAGAATTATTATTCACATATTGTAAGATGAAACAGTCAGATAACAAAGTCTGAGCTTCTACAAATTAGTAGCAGCGTTCATTATTAAATGGGGGCAGTTGTGTTCTGGCAAAATCAATACAAATATTAGTGGTGCCAGGAATCATGGAGAGTTGTTTTTTGGTGATGATAGGAGATACTGCCTTATTGTTTTTGTAATAAGGCAGCTGTAATACGTGACATCTCAAAGCTATCCAGAGCTTAGGAGCAGTTATAAGGCAGAAAATATAAAGGAGTGATCGGTCTAAAATGACAACAGCATCCAAGTTGATTCCTGATTACAAGTATACCATAAAAGATGGAAGGAGAAGATCACTTTTTATCTCTTCCAGGAAAACCATGGGTCAGATCTCGCGACTGCACATCTGTAAGGAAAATCACATGAATTTCTATTGCTGTTGGTTCTGCTGTCATTTTCCTCTTGTTGGGCTCAGATTGCTGGTTGCTCTGTTGTGTGGGAAAATGTGTCTGAAGTTGGGCTTTGCTTTTGACCATATGTTGTATGCAACAAGATTGCCATACAAATCTGTTCCTTGTGAATCACCACTATGTGGAGATGGCAAAATAAACCACAGTACACACACAGAGTGATTGTGCAGATTGTGATAAGGGTGTGAAAATTACAAGAAACAAAATCTGTCAGTTGTCATGATATCTAAATCATGGAATAAGAATTTAAGGGCCCAGACAACTATTGAGCTGCAATAAAACATGAGTTGTTATCACTAGCCAAGGAAGTCATAGGTAGTTAGTTATTCTAGCTGATTTCGGGCTTGGTTGTCTAAATGTCAGTGATAAATGATCATGCTTGTTCTAAAGATGGTGGATTAATTCATTTCAGCATTTTTGAGAACCGTGAAGGGTGGAGTCCTGAGTATATAATATAATATGTAATATTGAATAGAATAGCAAAGTAGGAAAATACGTAAAGTCAGAAAATACCAAGAGGAACCCTTTGGGTCTCCGTATATAAAGAACCTCTGCTGGAAAAAGGAATCTGGCAGAGGGTGTAGGATCAGATATAGCTCCGGGTGACCTAAGAGGTGTTTAGTTTCTCTGGTGCTTCAGAGCAGCAATGAGAGTCAAGACTATGACTAAATACTCGGCCCAGAAAGCACTGGAGCCACAGTAACGCCAGCTGCAAAGTGGCAGTGAGATCTCGCCACCCCATCTCTTTCTTTACAAATCCAGGCTGCTTGTAAGAAAAGCCTGTGGTGCAGTGTTTCCTCTAGCAAGTACTATTTGGCCCTGATCGTTACTGCTTCCTTTAAATACCAGCTTTTTTACTATTTCGGTACTCTCTTGAGTCACATGCTCTAGTATACGCTTACGTCCTTTCCTTTAACGTGTGTTGGCCCTCTTATCTGCGAAATAAAACTGGTTTAGAGTGGGGCAGCTTACATTTCTTAGTACATACTTCTGTGGGAGCCAAGATTCTTGATGCTGACAGAGACATTGAAAACAGAAGTGAACGTTTGCTTCATTACCAGGGTGGCTGTTGTAATCGTCCTGTTTGGTGCTCTCACTAGCTTGAGGTTAGTAGAAGCAAGGCTGAAGAACTGCAATCTATTCTAGTAAGGAAGGCGGTGGATTAGTGGAAAGCCTTGTCTCCTGCCCCGTGCTTCCTCTGCAGCCTTCTTTCCTTCCTCGTCTCTTGAATCCGTCTTACTCTGCCTGCAACACACGAGGTAGGCTCTTGACTTGGATGCAGATATTGCATTGTAAAGGTTTAACACACTGCTAAACCTTGACGTGGATTTAGAATAGTAGCTGTCATGGCTGTGACTTTAGTCCAGAATTGATTTAGTAACTGGAAAAGAGGCATTGGATTTGTTTCTGGCAACACTTTAGGGAGAGAAGCGCAGGCTATTAAACTGAAATGTTTGTCTGCTGTTATAGCTTTTCCCTTCATGATATCTGTGCTGAAGTCACATGGGTTTCCTTTGCTCTCTTTGAGAGCCACCTCTTTCTGTAAAAAGTATTAATAGAATATTTTCAGAGTGGATAAAATAAAATATGCTGAATCCTTTTCCTCAAGCCTAGCAAGGAACAGAGGCCATCCCTGGGCCACAGGCCACACCTGACTGCCCATCTGCCATGCCAAGATAATGTTCTGCTAAAATTGAAGTTAAATGGTATATTTTTCCCCTCCGAAATAATGCTAACGAGGCCTTCGGGAGGGAAGATGCCCTTCCATCCATTCCCATTCCCAAATTTGGCTGAAACCAAGCTGCTGAAATTTCTGAACAGTGATGCAGTTTTTACCCATTTTGGGAGTGAGGAATAAGTGTGGCCTGCTCTTATCCCTCCAGCCAAGCTTCTGCTTCCTTTCCCATATTTAGGCCAGCAAAATAGGCAAAAAAAAACAACCCCACACACATTTGTCTCCTCCATTCTTGTTATATAACACTGATGATGTCTGGTGCCCAGAAGAGGGCAAATAGGAACAGAGTAAACTAGAACAGTAGAGCGAGAGGAACCATTTGAATTTCTGTAGGTAAAAAGAACTGGTTAAAAATAAAAGAGTGGAATCTGGCAGAGGATGTAATGGTTAGGTATTGCTATGGGTGGCCTGAGAGGTGTTCAGTTTTTGCAGGGCTCTGGAGTAGCAATGTAAGTCAAGACTCTGGCTAAATATAGGTAGTCGTGGATTAAACAACTACTGTATTTGTTTAAAGACCATTAGAAGTTACAGCGGCACTGAAAAAAGTGATTTATGACTGGTTTTTTTTCACACTTACAACTGTTGCAGCATCCATGGTCATGTGATCAAAATTTGGAGACTTGGCAACTGACTCGTATTTATGACTTTTGCGACCTTCTGACAAGCAAAATGTCAGCCTTCAAGACTCCTTTCCTTTCTCTCGCATCTTTCAGCTGCCATAGT